TTGACATATAAGTTAGGGGGGGCAAAAATGGTATTTCGCCATCTATGTTATTATTATTATTATTATTATTACCTCATCGAAAGCTTCGAAAATATCGATACTAGGTTGATGAATGGTACACACGACCGTACGACCGGTGTCGACCGTGTTTCTAACGGTTCTCATAACGATAGCAGCGGCTCTTGCATCGAGGCCCGAAGTGGGCTCGTCCATAAATATTATCGAAGGGTTCGAAACTAACTCAACCGCTATCGTGAGCCGTTTCCTCTGCTCCGTCGAAAGCCCGTCGACACCCGGAAGCCCTACGAGCGCGTTCCTTATCGGGTTAAGCTCCACCAACTCCATCACCTCCTCAACAAACATCTGAAAAAAAATCATAAAAAATAAATTAATAAATATTTCTTTTGAAAAAAATTACACCTCCCATCCCCGAGGTTAGTTCATATTACACCCAGACACCCTCAGGTTTGGTTTCAGTCACTTTACCCCATTTGACCGTTGGGCGTTGACTAACAGAAAAATGACGATGTCAACGAATAAAATTGACTTTTAATAAAAAAAAAATATTCTGGTGAGGATAAAATTGTCAATTGCTGCATTTGAGTTGATTTGTAATAAAACGAAACTTCAAGGGGGGTATATATAATTTCTCAAACTTGAGGTGTATATTTGTAATTGTTACTAACTACAGGGGAGGTAAGTGTAACAAACTTGCCTTTCTGGTTTCAGTATTGACGTCAGCGGCGAGACGGAGCCAAGCAGAGTAGAGGAGAGATTCGTAGATAGTGACGTAAGGCGAATGGATATCGTTCTGCTCGCAGTATCCGCTGACACGTGCGAAGGTTGCTTGGTTTTTGGGATATCCCGAAACGGTGATTGTTCCTTCTGTGTAGCCGCCGGTTTTCCGGCCGGCGAGAACGTCCATTAAGGTTGTCTTTCCGGCGCCACTCACGCCGACCAACGCTGTTAGAACACCTGGACGGAATGCTCCGCTGGCGTCCCGGAGAAGCTGGAGCCTCTCGTCGTTCACCCCTTGCGTCTTCATTTCCTGAATTTAAAAAAAAAAAATCAGTTTTTTTTTTCACATGTTAGTGTGTGTATCTGTGTGAGAGAGAGAGAGAGAGGGACTGACAGCTGGCATATCGACGTAGTAATTGACATGGTTGAAGGCTAGAGAGAGGGGTTGAAAGGGCAAAACCATCCCTCTTTTGGGCTCACTTGCAGTTGCAGTTGCATTCATCTCAGACATTTGAACACCTGTTATTCATCAATTACAAATTACTAAGTTTTTTATTTTTTGGACATAAAAGAAGGTTGTCTTTAAATATTGGGTAAATTACGACCAACTCTTGAGGTAATGTCAAATTACGAAAACACCCCTTATGTTTGTGTAATTACAAACCACCGTCATCATCGGCTATGAATTTTTTTATACGTCCAGTCGTCCACCTTTACGGTGTCAAATTCAACATAATCTTATGGATACCGTGGAATGTTTTTTAGTTTGTACTTGTTTTGTGCAAAAATGCAGTTTATCATGCATCACCGAACATTTTATTTCAAAATGTGGAGTTCGAATGAGGTAAAACGAGTACAAACTCGAGAATATTCCACATAATCTAAAAGATTCCACTAAATTTGACATCGCATGAGTGGACGTGTAAAAAGATTCATAGTTGAGGGGGTGGTTGTTAATGCCTAACCGTATACAGCTTTCCGCCCAGCAACTGCCTGCCGTCTGAACCCACTTCCCCTTCCCTTT